CCTGTACAAATGGAAAAAAATTAAGTTCAACATTTCTAGACCAATATGGCTGTTAATTTTTGTACAATGCCAACTCAACACGGTAAACTGGGGTACTTTTTTTCAAAGTTGACAGAACAGCTAAAGTTTCCAAAAATTCAAATATATATTTATATTTATTTAATTATATTTATTTATATATTTATATAAATATTTATATTTATATAAAAAGACCAATAATGGCAGTATGTTATGCATCAATAGCAGCAACAGCTTTTCCAGGTTCTGCAGTCATTTGAACAAAATTGTAGAGACATCCAGCACACTCCATTAAAAAAAAAAAAAAAGTAAAAAACAAAATCCCAGAAAAACAGCACAGTTCTGCCAATATGGTGGTTCCTGGCACCATTTTTTTTTTAATTAGCTTCTCAATCATCATCTGGAAGGAAACCATTCTGAGCAGTATCATTAAAAACAGCTCTGATAAAGCACGGTTACTACTATGTATCATAGAGCAGGTCCACATCGGACTGGAGGGATAGCTCAGCCATTAAAGGCTAGGCTCACAACCAAAAATATAAGTTTTCCTGTATTTTTAAGTGTTATTGATGTAATATATAACTTGCACAACCTGACAGTATGGGAAAAGGAAAGATAGACTACGGATGAGAAATGCATTGAGGCAGAGTGAGTAGAGGTAAGCTGATTCTTCTTACTCTAGAGCCAAAGTGATTTCCATTGTGGAATCCTGTGGTCCTTGGGGGGCGCGGTGGGGGTGATAATTGGTTACTATAGTCAATGAGCTTCTATAAAGCAGATGGCAAAGGAAATCCAGGCAAGTCTGTCTAAGATGCTGATGTTGGAGACAGACATCTGATAGGTACACAGGACTTCTGAGCTATATTTGAAACTTTCCATGCAAGTGTAATTATTTCAGTAAGCCATGACGTGAGGCTTTGTCACCACGGCCCAGGATCCCGTCTCACCTGCATTGTTCCATTTCATTGCCCTCTAGTCCCTAAACCTTAGGGTAATGACCATGCCTGAAAGCTGTTGACTTCTCTCCATCTGGAAACAGTACAGTTGTTCCTGAACCATCATCACAGACTTACAGTCCTTTAATACCATGAAGTTTGCCCAGCATTTAGATTCCCAGATGAGAGCGGGAACTCTGCACATCATAGCTCTTTAAATAAAGGTGGCTTAATGGAGACAAATTAGAAATGGTGCATTTGCACACTCTAACAAATAACCAGCTCCTCTAATCTTATTTGTTGTACCTTGTGGGACTTTAGAATGAATTGGCTCCACCAGATTCTGACTACAGTGATAGCATGTTGGGTCCTTCCTATAACCACCCCCACACTTAAGTAGACGATAGGGATACAGCTTTCTGCTGAGGCTTGCCTTCTTTGGGGAAAAGAGAAGCAGACTGTGATAGTTAAGAACACTGCCAGATCCATCTCTGAGACCAGGCTCTGGATTATTTCTTCCGGTTGCCACCCATAGCAAAGATACAGAATCCAGCACATACACAATGATTATATCACTTGATACAGGTCCTTTTTGTTGGACTTCATCAGAGGTCTAAAATGTGAAGGGCGACTTGGTGGGTTGGAAATCATGCCAAAACTCTCATAAACAAGGTTTTTCTTTACAGCTTTTAGCTACAAGATACATTCCCTTCAGACTAATTTAACTTTTTTTTTTTTTTCTGCAAGGTATTAAACTCGGGACTGATTCTACTTCCCTGATTCTACCCCAAGCCTCATTTAACTTAAGGAGATCTGGAACTTTTGAGTGTTGGTACTGTTTGAATTTGGTCTCATAAATGAAAGAACTGAGCAAGTCTGTTTATCTTATTTTGCAGGCGATCTTTGAGCTTTCTCAAGGTGAAGAAGACCTGATAGAAGACTTGAAATTAGCAAAAAAGGTAAGCTAAAATACAGTAGCTGTTTGAGTCACTTCGTGTTTTTTTCCTGCCCTGTGAGTCATTTCAGAGTCCCAAGATGATGCTTTTCAGCAACCTCCTTGTGCCCAACTCAAGTCATCAGAAATTGAAAAAAACTTTGACCACAAACCAAGCAGTGAAGGAAATGGTTCAAAGCAAGAAGGCAAATTATCTTTCTACACCTGGCACCTGCCGGATGCCTGAGTGTCTGAGTGTCTAGTGCACCTCGAAGGATGTATCTGTTTAAATCTGAAAGCTTGTGGAGGCCTGATTTTATGTGTATTTCATTGTCCTAGAAGTCTTTCTTGAGCTACTCGGGAGGCTGAGTTGGGAGGGCCTAGAATGTGGGACTAGCCTGGGTCACATACTGAGAGCCAGTCTCTCAAAACACACCAAAAAGGAGTCATGTAGAGCTTCTTTGTCCACGTGAGAAATCATCATCATTTAGAGAAATAGGTCTCTAAACCAGGATAAAGACAATTCATTCTTGAAAGTAGGTAGAGTGAGGTGAGTGTTCATAAGGTATAATAAATTAGGGTCTTTCATATGGAACTAGAGTTTTTTGGGGGGTGCTTATTTGTTCAATGCTGAGGATCGGGTTCATACTTAAACATGCTGTGCACATGAGCTACTGCTGAGCTAGACCACAGATGAAAATGTGTCAAACCACATTATATGGGATTGCCTAAAATCATGTACATTCTTGACAGCAAATCTTCCCATCCAGTGATCTCCCTGGTTAGGAAGCTCCATTCAGACTCCTCTAACTTCTTTTATTCATGGCTTTTTGAGGAAATCATGAGGTTGGAAGAGTACTTATTATCTTGGATCCTCAGTTCAACATTCTGCTAATAGAAGTTCCACCTCCTACACTCCTGAGATGGCCATCTAGGCTTTGCATGGACACTGCCAAGAAGCTGATGTCTAGGACTAAAGGCTGAACAGCTCAGAGAAACAAGAAGGCCTTTAAGTCTGGAACACATCATATGTCCATATGCTGGCCACATGCCTAATCCCTACTTCCTGAGTCAAGATTTCCCAAACATAGACATCTTTAGATGTTTCTTGGCCATCCTCTGACTCACAGGGGTCTGTTTTCCCCCAAAGTCCCCTTTCCTTTCAGTCATACACCTCACCCCTGTCACAGGCTTCTGCTCAAATCTACGCCATTTCTTCTGTGCACATGGCTCATCTCCAGAACCTTCCTTGGATTCTTTACCTTTAATTTTCTGACCTGTTAGAGCCATTTCTTGATTGCTTTTGGTTTTATTTTCTGATGTGACATTCCTCCTGTCATTAGTCTTGAACTGTTTTCTTAAACATATGTTTTAAGTTTCCATGTACCTTTTTAAAAAAGAAAATCTCAATTAGCTTTATACAACTCTCTGAAGGCAAGAATTGTCATCTGTCTTATTTTGCATGTGTTTATGTGTAGTATATAATTATGTGTGCATGTTCATGTGTGTACATGTGTGTGGCCACATCTGTGTTTGTGAATACCAGAGGGTAGCATGAGTCTTCTTCATTGGATCGTCACCATATTTATTGAGGCAGATTCTCTCAACTGAACCAAAGCTCATCAGTATAACTAGTCTGGCTAGCCAGCTTGCTCTAGGACTCTTCCTGTCTCTTCATTTTCCCAGTTCTGGGACCACTGTACCCACCCAACTTTTATGTTTGTTCTGGAGATATGAACTAACTAAAATCAGCAAATGTTTTTCTCTGTGTACTTAACGTCGATAGTGAAGGGTCCAATCACTTTTCTTTTCTTTTAGATATGTACTCATTTGAAAAAAGCCTGCTGTTTTGAATAAAATAAAAATTTGAATAAAGTGGGAGGGTTTTTCCAAGTGTAGAATCATGTTGACTTTTAGAACCTTGTATCAATCCCCAGACTACTATTCATGTAGGATTTTTGCTTCTTCCTAGATATATGGTATACATCTAGGTGTAAAAGGCTGAGGCAGAACCAGATTCTCTGTTCTTCCATGTTCTTCCAGCCATGCCTGCTGGCTGTTTCCACTGCATTATGGGAGAAAGTGTAGGAAGCCTCTTTTTATTTATTGTAAAACACCTCTCAGGAATCATTTGCATAAACAACTGAGTTCTTCTGAATTTCAATATTTGTGCCCATCCTTTACAGGCCTATCATGACCCCATGCTGAAACTCTCAATAATGACAGAACAAGAACTGAATCAAATCTTTGGAACACTGGACTCTCTAATTCCTCTACATGAAGGTACAGTTTCGTCCCAGACGAGTCATGACTTGTAGTCTTAATTGAGTTGTCTTATAACAAATCTGTGATTGTGTAATAATGTGAGTAGCCCAGAGCCTTCTTCCACCCTGCTCATATTTGAATGCCTAACAAAATAAGCATTCTGTTTATTTCTTGCCAGATCTCCTTAGTCAGCTTCGAGACGTTCGGAAGCCTGATGGCTCAACTGAGCATGTTGGTCCCATCCTCGTGGGCTGGGTAAGAAATGTTCTCTGGTCTTGTTTGAAGATAGATTTCCCCCTACCCACACTTTTTCCTTGTTGGCAAATACTGGCTAGTACATCAAATAGAAAGATAAACTTTTAATATTTGGAGGCTTTATGTCTTCAAAGCATGGAACCAATTTCTTCTTATCAAAAATTTATTGCATTTAAAGACAACATGGCATTTTGCAATAAAATAAATTAAAAGTACACATGAGTGGGACGGTGGTGGTGCATGCCTTTGATCCCAGCATTCGGGAGGCAGAGGCAGGTGAATCTCTGTGAGTTTGAGACCAGCCTGGTCTACAAGAGTTAGTTCCAGGACAGCCTCCAAAGCCACAGAGAACCCTGTCTCGGAAAAACAAAAACAAAAACAAACAAAGTACACATGAAACTTCTATTAGTTTCACATAAAATAAAATAAATGATGCTAGATTATATTGGATTTAGGCCAATTAAATTATTGTCATTTCTATTCTAATTTTAAAATTAACATGCTCATTTTTTTCTTTGGTGCATGTTATGCAAAAACTTTACCACTGATACATACATACATACATACATACATACATACATACATACATACATCTATCCATGCCCCATTCTGCCTTCTTCCTCTCATTTTGAGGCAAGTTCTCACTAAATTGCCCACACTGTCCTTGAACTCACTTTGCACCTGGGGCAGACCTTGAATTTGGGGTACTCCTGCTTCTACCTTCCAAGTAGCTGGGATTTATATGCCTATGACATCAGGCCTGGCTTGACATTCTTATTCATCATCCAAAGGAGATAGCTCTTGTTTAGAGTGCACAAGGCCTTGGGTTTGATGCCCAGTACTGAGTGTGGAGGGTACTGGGATCCCTTGATCTAAATGTAGTGTTACCAACAAGGTAATGAGTACATGTTGCTTGTATTTAGAACATATATTTCTGGTCCTAAGTAACATCTGAAGGTTCATACAGACCTTCATCTAACACAGCCGATTCCCTTTCTTAAAGAACAAAAATGAGACGTTAGGTTAGGGCTCATAAATGTATCATCCTCATACTGAATTTTTATTCAGTTGAATATGTAGTGTTCATTTGTGTTATTCACTTAGACAAAGCATACACTATTTTGCTACCACCCCAACCACTCCCTATTGTCTGTCTGTCTGTGTCCCTCAGTGAGTACTTGGATGCTCCATCCCAATTCTAGATATTTTTATTTATGAAGCCGGTAATAAAAGCAGATAACTTTAATGACTTCATCCAGGCAAAATTAGATCTCTTGATCCCTTTGATTTACCCAGTATTCCAGGAAAAAAAGGGTGGGAGTATGGTGATAGAGGGTATCAGGCAGAGAGTCCAGTGATAGGGTGTTGGAGAGCTTTAAGTCCCATTGCCTCTCTTTCCAGGTATATATGTTTTTAACCTTCAGGTTCTCACTGATGTCACATGGACGTGCAAAAAAATCTTAACATTGATGTCTGGCCTGGTGCCTCTTAGTTACTGCCAGAGACTCACCTTTGGAGAGTGTCCCAGGACTTGGCTCTAGTTCAGAAGTCAATTTTAGTACCAAGGCTGAACTATCTCAAGAATATCTGAGAGACAAGTAATGTTCTAAGCTGAATAATTTAGATATGTGTTTCAATATTTCAGGAGAGATCATTCATTTCAAACTTTTGACTTTTTATTCTAAGTCACGGTATTGTTTTAAACTCCTTCAACACACAAAGACTTGGAAAGAGTGGGTCCACTGGAGTCAGAGTTGGTTTAATGAGAAAGTCTACATCACTGTTTTTTAAACGTCTCCAGTCTATGGACTCCCTAGTCAGAGAGCAAGAGCACTTCAGAGTCAGCATCCTAAAATAGGGTGACACTGTTCCTTTAAGCATGCAAATTATGACATTGTTCCAGACTCGAGCTCAAGAATTTTGCTTTATTAGCTTTTTTCCCCCTGAAATACACTTTTGTCACTTGTGTTTTGAGGTTAGTTTGAGCTGGGGCCTGGGGAAGGCTTTAACAGTCATGTTCCATACATAACCAGAGGAAGTGTGGCCACCCCCAGTCTGTTGCTGTCTGGACCCTCCAGGCATCAAATGGGGACTTAGAGCTTGGCCTGAAAGGAAACAAGTGGTTCATTGTTGCCAGATTTCAAGAGAAATGGTCCTTAGTTATCAACCAAAAAGCTGATAAATGTTTTCCCTCTTTTAACTGCAGGTGTGTTGGTCTGAGTGGGAGCTGTACACTAAGGGGTGAATCTGTTTGAGTTCTACTCCTTTTAACAGAGCAAAATAAATGTCGTACTGGACACTGAATGAGAAAAGACAGAGCCTATTCAACCCATGGAAAATTGATTTATTTTCCCGAAAAGGGGGAAAAAAATCCTTTGAACAAGTGAGCTGCCCCCCTAAGACAGCATCAGCCAGGCCTTTGACCTTAGAGTGAATCCATGACTTGTACTTTGATGGCTTTAAACAGAGGACATCTCTGGGGAGCTGCCCTGGTTACAGAGGGTGGGTATCCCTTCCTATTGGGTCATCCTATTTAAGCAAGCCTTCTCTGTTACAAAGAAACAATGTCCCAAGTGACTGTCTCAGTAATAAAATAATTTATAAGCTCTCCATGACAGAAAGTGCTCCTGTTTAATTTAGGTCCTAGTTAATTTTTAATCCCAAAGGGGGAAGAAAGGGTACATGGAGGTAAAATTCCAGATTTATTCTAACATTTTTTATGTTAGGGGGATAGAGTTTCTAAAAAATATTAAAGAAAGAAAAAAGTGTTTTCCATATATAAATATGTATATACATACATACATATGTATATACATACATGTGGGCCTTTTAAATTTTTTCATTTTTAATTCTTTGACAGGTCCATACTTAAAATGAATTTTAGTGGTCTTTACCCCATGTCCCCCACTCCTATCCACCTCTCTCTCCCATTGAAACCCTTTTACTTCTCAACAAGTCCCCTCCCACTTTCATATCTTCTTTTACTGTGACCCATTGGATTTAATCATATTTGCTTGCACAAGCGTAAGTGAGAAGTTATTTTCAAGAACTGAGGCAATTTACCAATGGCTATACCACTGAAGAAAGTGACACCCACTCCCCCAGTAATCATTAACTACTGACAGGCCCTCAGGGAGGAGTAGAGCCTCATGGACCCTCCCCTAACCATGATGAAATGTTGGCAAGCTCAGTCTTATGCACAGTGAACTACTTGCTTAGCTGTAGCCTAAAACCTGTCCTGGTCGGCTCCTCTGCTAAGTGTTTGATGACTATGTGTCTCTTTAAATACACTATCAAGAATCTAGGAGGGGTTGGAGCTGGTGAGATGGTTCTGGTCTCTAGGGCACCAGCACTCACTTGCACATATCACACACACATACACACACACACACACACACACACACACACACACATAATTAAAATAATAAATTTTTTGAAAAAGAATTTAAAGGGGAAACCTGGGAAGTGATCAAGATTTTGAAATCATCTGTTTTTTTTTATAGTCAGTTCAAGGTTAGACTGGGCTACATGATACTCTGTTTCAAGAGACCCATGTAGCTGGGCATTGGTGGCACATGCCTTTAATCCCAGCACTCGGGAGGCAGAGGCAGGCGGATCTCTATGAGTTCGAGGCCAGTCTGGTATACAGAGCGAGTGCCAGGATAGGCTCCAAAGCCACAGAGAAACCCTGTCGCTAAAAACCAGAGAGAGAGAGAGAGAGAGAGAGAGAGAGAGAGAGAGAGAGAGACCCATGTATAATCTGTTTCACCCACGCAAGCCTAGGGGAACACTATATAAGGAGAAGAAAGGATGGAAGCATAAAATGATGGGGAGATAAGCTTCTTCTGACCATGGCACACCTGCTCACCTTGAGTTCCAGGTCAGCCTGAGCTCCAGAGGGAGACTGTTTCTTAATAACAACACAGCAAAAACAAGAAGACAAAAGAGAACGGCACACACCCTGAATCCCAGAACTCAAGAGGCAGAGGCAGGCAGATCTGTGTGAGTTCGAAGCCAGCCTAGTCTACAAAGAAAGTTCCAGGACAGTCTCGTACAGAGAAACCCTGTCTCAAAAAACCAAAGACATAGTAATAATACCTAGTGCTACCACTTCTTAGCCAGAGGGTAAGCTCTGTGCTGTGTGTCTCATAGGAGAGCATTATACAAGTTTTGTGAGTGGAGAAACTGAGGTACAGAGTCACAAATTGCTGTCCAAGTTTGTTTTTTAATCTGATGCTGCATTTCCTGAGGTTTTTATTTATTTATTTTAACCACTGAGCTGTTACCTCATTTTCAGAGTCATGCCCAGGAAATGAGCACCCTGTCAGGTGTGAACAAAAGAGCAGAGCCTAATTTAGTTGCCAGGGTAGCAGATGGCGGGATCAGAGAAAGTAATGGCCCATTGGACAGTGTGACTGTAGTTCCTTGGTAGTTCATATCTGATTGTTACTGCTGATTTGCATCTACTTAATGCAAACATGGGTCATTTCCAGGTCTTTAAAAAGGCGAGGAAATAGAAATGAAATTAAGAAAGCCTGAATTCATTTTGAAAATCTAAGTTGCAAGCATCCCATCTTGGGGGGAGGAGGCGTTAAACCAATTATCAGTACTTCAACAATTATCAGTACTTCTGCAGATGTTTTTAACATAAAGCAAAAGGTTGTTTTGCGCGTGTGTGAGTTTGTTAACGTGGAAGGAAGACATTTTCAAGAAACGTTAAACTCAATAATGAATCTTTTAAATATTACTTCTCTGGCAACTTACTTTTTCTACTCCATGATGAGGAAATAATTTCAATAAGAATTGTAAAAGTAGTGGTAGGACATTTAAAAACTTCAAATCCAATCACAGGATGCATATGTGGATGGTTTAAAAACAAAACAACCACCACCAAAAAACCCGCCTTCAAATGCTACCACTCATGTTTTTGCTGATTTGTTCCTTTTGGGTTTTTGTTGTTGTTATTTTTACATGTATTTATGTGGTTGTGTATATGTGAACATGTGTATACCCAGAGGACAACTTGTAGGATCCTCTTCTTTGGTTTGTGGGAATCAGAGGTTACCTCATGAATGTTGGTTCCTTCTTACCATATAGGTCCTGGGGATCAAGTTCAGGCTTAGCTTTAATTGCCTTTTCTGGCCACTTCTTTGTTTGACTTTTGAGACAGGATCACACACAGTTCCTGTCCAAGCTGGGCTTGGCCTCCTGGGTGCTAAAATCATAGGTGTGAGCCACCGCACCCAGAGTTTTGTTTTGGTTTGGATTTTTATTTGTTTTTGATTCTGTCATTTCTTTGTGAGCATTGCTCCCAAACCATCAACTATTCTCTAGTCTTACAATCCATTAACCTTTAATTTATTTGTTCAGCCAGAATACAGACTTTGTTGTTTAATGGGTATGATGCAAAATCCTGAGCATACAGAAACAAAAGACGCCTTTGTCACTGTCTCACATTGAATGTGACAGAAGGGATGTCATGGTGAACATAGTCTCTTCATTGGTTTCCAGAAGAAGGCAATGCAGCTGGGCCACTGGCTGCATGTTACTACTGTGGGTAGCTTTGCACTAGCCTGTCAGTCAGCCTAAGGCACTATTTTGAGGGTGGAGTAGCAGAGGGGGATGAGAAGCTCTTTGCTTGAGTCTCTGATGTGGTATTTACACAATGTGACAGATGGGTATGTCAGGGAAATTGGCGTTTTGCTGGAATGAAGGCAGTGGGGTTAACACGTTCCAGTTTTTAAGCTAAAACTATTCTTGCATGATAGTGTGATGTGATCCGGAAGATAGTGCCAAAAACTTTTCCTGGACTGCCAGAGCTCACTTAGAAGACTTTAATAAATAATTTCTTCAACTAATTTTTTTCTTAATTATACTATTGCTTCAAATTCTTGAGGCCCCCTAATTCTTGGGCCACCTTTGAATCATATAATCTTGAACAAATGTGGAAATGCTTGTACTGAGAAACACAAAAACTTAGGTTGTGAGTTTGACCCTTGCTTTCTGTGTATGCCACTAAGTTTTCTAGATAAGTTTCTTTAAATAATCCTAAAATAAATCCTGCTTTTAAAAACAAGAGGAGGAGCCGGGCGTTGATGTTGCACACCTTTAATCCCAGCACTCGGGAGGCAGAGGCAGTCGGATCTCTGTGAGTTCAAGGCCAGCCTGGTCAACAAGAGCTAGTTCCAGGACTGGCTCCAAAGCTACACAGAGAAACCCTGTCTTGAAAAACAAAACAAAACAAAACAAAAAACCAAAAAACCAAGAGGAGGTAGGCAGGAGATATGGCTCAGTGATTAGACATGCTTGCTACTCTTCCAGAGGACCACAGTTCAGATTCCAGAACTCCCATGGGGAACTCTAGTTCCTGGGAATCTGACACCCTCTTTTGGCCTCCATAGGTACCAGCATACATGTGATACACATAGAGACAAGCAAATGTGCACACATACACAAAAATTCTCAAAATTAAGTCAGTTTTAAAAATTAAAAAGGCTCTGAGGAGATGGTTCAGTAGGCATAGGGCTTGTGGATCAGGGTGAAGATCTGTGTTTGAATTCCCAGAATCAGTGTAAAGCCAGGCACAGTCTCATGTTTTTGTGATCTGGGTGCTTCTACAGTGAGATGTGATGTAGAAATAGAATCCCCAGAAGCTCATAGACCAGCAAGCCTAGAGCTTTCAGCAGCTATCAACAAAGAGACCCTGTCTAGGCTGAGGACCAAACCTAGGGCTATCCCCTTCTCCACATGTGTTCTGTGCCATACATGTACATCCCCCCAACACACATACATACACACTATCTATGCAGAGAGACACACTCACACACAAAATTTAAAGACAATGTGCATGCCATCTGAGGAATGATAGCCAAAGTTGTCTCTTGTCCTCCAAACACATGCAAACACCACAAAATATACATAAAATGAAATAAATTGATAACTTCTGCCTTACTGAGTGCTTGGGAAGGGTTAGGGAAGTTCTGAGACTGGGTTTTAGCTCAGTGGTAGAACATCAAGCATGCATGAGACCTTGGGTTCAGTCCCAAGCACTAACTACACACACACACACACACACACACACACACACACACACACACACACACACACACCACAACCAAACAACAACAAAAAAAACCCCGCTCTATATGCATCTGCAAAACTGGTTCTTTTGGTTCTTTTTTTCTAGCTTAAGTTGCTAGATAAAGCTAAGGAGTTTTGGTAGGGACCTTTAAAAAGTGAAAGCACAACTGAGAACATGACATTTTTGTGTGTTGTCTGTCATTTTGAAGATTGCACTGGTTAGTTTCTTCCACCCTTGCTGATAAAGGAATGTTGGCTGGGTCAGGAGACCAATTCGGTGTTTGTTCATTCCTAAGTGATGCCAGCCTGGACCTTCATAGCAATGACGCTGACACCCAGCCTTCCCTTTATGTTTCCTTCTCAGCTGCCTTGTCTCAGCTCCTATGACAGCTACTGCAGCAATCAAGTTGCTGCCAAAGCCCTCCTGGACCACAAAAAGCAAGACCACAGAGTCCAGGATTTCCTTCAGCGCTGCTTAGAATCCCCCTTCAGCCGAAAACTAGATCTCTGGAATTTCCTTGATATTCCCAGGAGTCGTCTGGTAAAATACCCTCTGCTCCTCCGAGAAATCCTGAGGCACACGCCGAATGATGATCCAGATCAACAGCACTTGGAAGAAGCTGTAAGTTTGCCTGCTTCTTTTTCTCTTGTTGTGTCACTCTCCACAATGGCTAGGGTCGGGTCAGTAGGTACTGTATGCATGGGGCCCAGCAATCTTGGATTCCAGGCCTGGAACTATTCATTTATTTGTTTGTTTGTTTTTACTTTTTCTTACCAGTTTCCAGTTCCTCACACATAAAGTAGCTTAAGATATATTTGGTTCTAATACTTTTATTATTGATTGTCTGAATGTGTGCATGTGTGTTTGCTTAACACAGGCCAGGCTAGCTTCAAACTTGTGGCCACTCTCAATCCTCCAATCTCAGCCTCCCAAATGCTAGGATTGTAGATAGGTATGTGCTGCCACACCCAGCTCAAGTTTTATACTTTCTTGATGTCTTTTTAATACCACTCCAATCTGGTATTTGAATTGTAGACTGAGAGAACTAAAATCTTTGTGAGGATTTTAAATGCAAGAATTTTTATTTAGTAAGAAAATGGGGCGGGGGCAGCCGGGCATTGGTGGCACACGCCTTTAATCCCAGCACTTGGGAGGCAGAGGCAGGCGGATCTCTGTGAGTTCGAGGCCAGCCTGGTCTCCAGGATGAGTGCCATGATAAGCTCCAAAGCTACATAGAGAAACCCTGTCTCCAAAAACCAAAAAAAAAAAAAAAAAAAGAAAAGAAAAGAAAATGGGAATTGGCTTCTAGCTAGTTCAAAGCTCATTTGTGAAGGTACACCTGTTTAAGATCTAGTGCTTGCCAGGTGTTGGTGCTGCATGTCTTTAATCCTATCACTCAGGAGGCAGAGGCAGAGGCAGGAGGATCTCTGTGAGTTTCAGGCCAGCCTGGTCTACAGAGCAAGTGCCAGGACAGGCTCCAAAGCTACACAGAGAAACCCTATCTCGAAAAACCAAAAAAAAAAAAAAAAAAAAAAGAGGTCTAGTGCCCATCTGTACCCAAGTGCACTAAGGTACCTGATCAACCTCCTAGTTGCCACTGCATCCTTATTCAGCAAAGGTTTACTGAGCATGCATCATGCATCACTGTATAAGGCTTACCACCACCACCCTTCCCTGATCTGGCTTTTCACAACTTTGAACCTGGGCTTCCTTCCCACTGGCCCCCCCATCCCCTTCATCTAGACCATCTTGGCTTTCTGATCAGCAGAGTAATGTGTCCAGGGTTCTAGTTTATAAGTGATAAATCTGGGTTTGAACCCTGAATCCTAACTATTTAGAAGACTTTAGTTAATTACATGACATGGAAAATTCTTGAGTTGATTTGAATCTCAGTCTGAGGCAGACTTGAACCCTGTCTCAAAAACAAAAAACAACAACAAAAAGACAAAAAATCCAATATCAAAAAGATGGCTAATGAGATTGCTATGTGAGCCTGGTGACCTAAATTCAATCTCCTGAGCATACTTTGGAAGAAGTGACCCAACTCCTGAAAATTGTCATCTGACTTCCACTTGGGTACCATGGCACACATGTGCCCACACACCACACCACACACACACACACACACACACACACACACACACTTTTTTTTTAAAGAAAAGATAAAAGGTGGTGGTAGGATAATGAAGATTTAAATGACCAACTCAAAAGGCTCATTTCTGATCTGGAACAGTAACAGCAACATTTATGTAGGTAATTTGGAAATCAGAAGCCTGATCCTGCTGAATAAGCCAATAATCTCCCTGAGAAGAGTTTAATTATTATTAGTAGTAACAGCAATAGTATAATCACTGATGTTTGCCAAGTACTCAACTTTATGTAATTACCTTACAGACTGTTTTATCTCATTTTAACACTCATTACAATCTGTGAGATAGCTCCAAATTCTGCTTTACAGTCCTGTTCAGTACATTGGAGAGCTAGTTATGTCTTTGAGCCCCTCATGCCTTGGGAATTGCAGAGAGCTGACTTGTTATGGACAAGCTTTGTGGTGAGACCTCACTGTTACAAAGCTGGCCCAGAAGCCTCCATGTGGGTTTGGGAAGAATGAGGACAGACTCCTGATTCATGAGGCAGCAGTGTCTGGCAGGCCCATCATACAGAGACCAGGCCCCCATCCCCAGCACAGAGAGGGATCACAGGCACTGGGTTGAGGTTCCTCTCACTTTGTGATGTATGTTTTTATTGCTGGGAAGAGCATGATCTCCTCTCCATATCTCATCCCAATGAGAGGGTATTCTGCAGGAATACAAACAGCAGGGAACTCCAGCCATGCTCAATAGTTATTTGTGTGAATCATGTGAACTTGTGTTCAGTTCTACTGAAGAGATTTCTTCTTGTTAAAACATGGCATTTAAAGCATACTGTCCTCTTTTTTAAGTGATCTGGTTTGAATCTAAAAACAAACAGCTAAGAATGATTGTCTGCAACATGAGGGAACATGCTAGTTACCCATTTCCTTGTGTATAGAGTGTAAAGCCTTCAAAAGTTGAGCCTGCACCTGATCATCAGGCCAGGTCTGGGTGTGAAGCATGGTAAACTCACATTTGGAAATGTCCACAAAGCTTTTATATGTCCCTTTGCACAGTTGAGTTTGTATTTTCCCCTCTCCTTTTCACAACCCATGTAGCATACCCTAGATGGGATTTCTTTAGCCCTGTACTGTTGGGCACATTATGGATGTGTTTGATAGACACAAAAATCCATAGTGCCACACTTGGCTTAGCCACACATTCCTGAATAAATTCCCCATCTATGCAAAGAGAGAAAACCAGACTAAGTCTCTTCTATGCCAAGGGAGTTGATTCCATTCACCCCTGTGACTAGATTTTTAAAGATAAGGCTGGCTTTCAATGTAGATATAAACTACTTTGTCATTACTAGGATTTCTTAATGGTGTTTTGAGAAGGCAGTGGAATTCCCTTATTTTATTGATTACCTGAGACAAAGTCTCATGTGGCAGATTCTGGCTTTGAATTCTAACCCTCTTACCTTTGTTGCCCAAGAACTGGGTGAGATTAGAGATAAGCACTACCAAAAAGAATTTCTTAAAACAGAACTTTGACTATCTAGATATTTAATGATTTAAAATCTAAAGATTGTGCTGGGCAGTGATGGCGCAAGCCTTTAATCCCAGCACTCAGGAGGCAGAGGCAGGTGGATCTCTGTGAATTTGAGGCCAGCCTGGACTACAAAGCAAGTTCCAGGGCAGCCAAGACTGGTAACACAGAGAAACCCTGTCTTGAAAAATGAAAATAAATAAATAAAATAAAAAGGAAAGAAAAGAAAGCTCTAAGGATTGTGGCAGCTGGTTTTATGACCTTGCCAACCATCCCTCCCTCCCCCCATAAAACAGCCTTGCTTTTGATGCAGCTGTAGTGAGCACTGCTATTCTTGGTTCATGTCAGGAACTGATGAGTGGATGGCATTGTCACACAAATGACTAGATGGACAGGGTGAATTCCGGACTGTGTTGGCTCCTTACAGTTGTATTTCTCATTGTCTCCCTTTTCCAGAACTTTCTTGCCTTCAGTTTGAACCCTAGCAAGGCATGCAACAACACATTTAATTTAAACACACAACTGCTGTGACTGTTTGTTACTGGCAGTCTACTTTATGCAACTTGAACTCTCAGAAATAATGCAGAATAAATCTCCCTCAAGACCCGGTGTAAAAAGACCAGAGCCTCTGGGTACTGGGTAGATTCAGGTGTGGAATGATGCTGCTGGCTGTTTTCATTGTCTTTCTTGCCTGTGAACATTTTTTCACATACCAGAGAAAGAAGCTGTGTGTGAAAGTAGTCAAAGCTGCTCAAGGAACCACTGTAGCATTTGAGTTTATAACTCTTTGCATGACAGGCTGGCTGTTCAGTTCCTGAGTTTAATTCGGAAGTGAGCCCATTATATCTGTGGTGAGGACCCTTCTGGGTTTCCTGGACACTTGCAGGAAACTCTAAAAATTGGCTCAAGTGTTGATTAGCTCCCCTGCCCCAGAGCAATTAGTAAATGGTTCACTAGTAAGAAGCCAAGGCCATTACTGCTGAGGTCTTTTTCAAAGGGGTGTATGAATTCCACTGCCTGCTGAAAACAGAGAAAGCCTGTTAAGAGTTAAAACATTAAGCAGCTGTTCAGGTGTCTCCCATTTGATTTGGATCCATTCAGTTCCGTTCCATTTGTTTTGATTCAGTTCTGTTTGGTTTGCATTTGGTGGGGAATATTTGCTAGGTATTGGTTTCTTGAAACAGGGTCTCATTATGGATTGGCCTAGGAACTTGCCTTGCAACCCAGGCTGGTCATGAACACCCTCCTCATAGTCCTCCTACCTATGTGTCCCAGGTGTTAGGATTGTAGGTATGCAGTATAAGTAAATTCTTAAGCATCCAAGACTACTTTGTACCTCTTCCACTCAGATACTGTTATGCATCACTTTTAGATTTGCTTGTGTCTTAGGGTTTCTGTTGTTGTGATAAGATGCCATGACTAAAACCAGCTTGGGGAGAAAAGAGTTTATTTCACCTTACAGCTTATAAGTGAAAAGTTTGTGCACCCCAATAAGCCTCTCCGCCAATGTGGTAATCTAAATCACACCAAATCAAACCGAATTAGAAAAAGCCCACGTTTATTAGATACAACACTCCTGAATGGCCTTCCAGCCCCCCAGAGAGGAGACAGGAAAGAGAGACCAGAAAACCACGAGTCTATTTTCTGGGAGGCAGTTTAAATACCCTGTGGGAGTGGTCTTGAGCATCTCGGGGGAGGGGTTATCATTTGGTGGGCTTTCTGAGATGTAACAGGGCTTGGAGGGAGATGGGGAAGGGGGCTTGGGTGGAACCTCCACATAACATTCTAGACTCTTTGGGTATATGGATGCCAGGGGCTGGGATGAAGCTTCCACCATAACATCAAGTCCATAGCTGAGGGAAGCCAGGACAAGAACCTGGAGTCAAGGACTGGAGCAGAAGCCATTGAGGGGTGTTGCTTACTGAGTTGTTCCCCATGGCTTGCTCAGCCTGCTTTCTTACACAAACCCAGACCACCTGCCCAGGGGTGGTGCCATCCACAATGGACTAGGCTCTCTCACATCAATCACTAATTAAGAAAATGTTCCATAGGCTTTACCACAGGCCACTCTGGCAAGGGCATTTCTCCATTGCAGTTTCCTCTTCCCATATGAAACCTAGCTTGTGTCAATTTGACAAAACACTAACCAGCATAGTATATGATACAAATATATATCTATGCATAAATTATATAAACTTGGTATATTAAACTTAGCTGGATACTGTGTTACCCATTAAGTATCTCTGTGAGTTCAACTCTGGCCTGGATTACATAGTGAGTTTGAGGCCAGCCAGAGCCTCTTAAGAAAAAAAAAAAAAAAAAAAAAAAAAAAAAAAAAAGCTTTATTTTTCCCCTTTCCCACAGTGGCCACACATATGTCAGCTTTCAGCATTAGATGCAGTAGTGTCTGGGTAGCCTGGAGGCTGGCTCTAAGCCTGTGGCTGTGGGTGGGTTGGCTTACTTCCCCCATTTTTATTTACTATTCTTCTTTGTTTCCATAGATAAACATCATTCAGGGCATTGTGGCAGAAATCAACACCAAGACTGGAGAATCGGAATGCCGTTACTACAAAGAGCGGCTTCTTTACTTGGAAGAAGGCCAGAAAGATTCCCTGATTGACAGCTCAAGAGTCCTGTGTTGTCACGGGGAACTGAAAAATAACCGGGGTGTGGTAAGTAGTTACTCTCCTCAGAGCCTTACCCTCCTACTTCCCCTAGCCCCACCCCCACCCCAGCTTTTCTTTTCTAAGTTCTTTTTTTTTTTTTCTTTTTTTTGTGGTGAAAAGAATTTAACCTAGTTGCTGCCACTAGGCAAGCACCCTGCCACTGAATACATTCCTAACCTTCTCTTTACTTTTTTTTAGATTTTGAGACAGAGTTCAATTAAGTTGCCTACTAGGATGAATCAAGCCATACACCCGCCTCCCCAGCAGCTGGGATTTTAGGCATATACTATGTGTACCACTTTGACATCAGAAAGTAGTGAGCCAGACCTAATAGCACAGGTACTAATAGCACAGGTAATAATCCCAGCTACTTGGGAAGCTGAAGCAGGGAAGTTTTAAGTTCAAGGTCTGTCAGGGCTGCAGAGAGAGTATGAGACTAGCCTGATCCTCATAATGGGTTCCAGGTCAGCCAGAGTACATAGTGAAAACCTTCTCAAAAAAAAAAAAATATTTAGCTTAGAAGAAGTTGATTAAATGTGATAATTTAAGAGACACCCTTTCAGTTTATGTGGTTGAGTCTGAAATTACCCCTTGTTGTTAGAGTATGTTGTATAGCTTGTTATCAGGCCTCCTGTGGATTCAGCCATGCCATTTGTGATGGCGCCACTGACACTGGCGTGTGGACCTGCATGTGTGTGAGATAGCTACTGACTGCCAGAAAGTGAGTTCCAGGAAGCAGCAGAGGATTTAGGTGATGGATCAACAGTTCCTTGAAAGTTCTTTCTAGGAAGTCTTGAGAAACAGGTAGAAGCATTGCTTCCTGGGAGATGGTCCTGTTGTGAGACACCAGTCGAGGCCAAAGCCCCTTTGACTGAATGTGTTTATGATGGTCCTGTTACACAGCAGTTGAGGCCCAGCCCCCTCTGATTAGATGGCAGAAAGATGAGGTCTACAGGCAGTGAAGCTCTGAGAATAAAGACAGTAGTTGGGGTGGGAGGTTTGTTGGGTTTGGCTCTTGCTGAAGGTGTGAACATTATTACAAACAAAGTCCTGTGTCAGGAAAAAATGGCGCAGGAGTGGGAGCAAAAGGCAGCTGATTGTCAATGAATATTTATAAATGACGGATATTTTACTTTTTTATTTTATTTTATTTTATTTTATTTTATTTGGTTTTTCAAGACAGGGGTTCTCTGTGTAGCTTTGGAGCCTGTCCTGGAACTCCCTGGAACTCCAGACTGGCCTTGAACTCACAGAGATCCACCTGTCTCTGCCTCCTGTAAAGGTGTGTGCCACCACCGCCTGGCAAGAGGATATTTTAAAAACATTGCCCAGACCACCCCAGTTCAAGCTGCCTGCCTTAACTACAAGATCTATTGATATAGAAACAAAATCCTAATACAATGGCCCACCACTCTCTCTTCCCTACCCCTAAAAAGACAAAACCCATTTCTATAACCACTACATCCTATGAGGGGAACCCTGGGGGGCGGTGAGGGAGAGAGGTTTTTAACTTACTAATTTTGTGCTTAGATGTTTTATGATCTTCAAGTATTCTTTTAAGATTTTATTGTTTGTCTATTTTGAAACAGAGTCTTCCCCAGGTGGCCCAGGTTAAACTCAAACTCAATGTATAGCCCAGGCTCACCTTGAATTTGCAATATCTTACCTCCACTTCCCAACTAGTAGGATTACAGCTGTGTTTCCAGCCAATCTCTCTCTTTTTTTTTTTTTTTTGTTTTTTGTTTTTTTGTTTTGCAAGACAGGGTTTCTCTGTGTAGCTTTGGAGCCTATCCTGGCACTCGCTCTAGAGACCAGGCTGGCCTCAAACTCACAGAGATCCATCTGCCTCTGCCTCCCGAGTGCTGGATTTAAAGGCCCCAGCCAATCTTTTAAGGCATACAGCCCTACCACCTAAGGTCTGGTAGAATTTTTCACCTCTGCAGTATGTAGAATGTGTGTGGTAGGAGACCTACAGATTGCTTTTTTTTTTTCAGATAGTAAATCGCTGATAATGTAGAATGTGCTTCCTCCACTCAAATCAAGATTCTAATATTGAGTTTTTTACCCCTCTCCTGCTGGTGGCCTCTTAAGAGTCCTGGATTAGCATCCCCACATTTCCACCAGAAAGCCAGAGCCTAGCACCAGAGCTGTATCATTCCACCTTAACTCCTGAACCTTTGCAGACTATAAGGGTCTGGTACTCAGAGTTGAACGCCACAGATATGCGCCAGCACTGCACAGGAAGCTTACTCTTGTGTGATCTGAGGCAAATCTTCATTTTCTAAGATGTTCTGCCTCAGCTACACAGAGGCAGCTTGCTTTCATGATGTGGTTTGAGACATGCCTTCATCTTTTGAGATTCTTTTTGCCCATCACATGTATCAGCCATCCACCCTGTAAGCACAGTCTCTCCAGAGAACCCAGGTGCTGATGAACTTACTGAGGACATGAAGGTCACCTTTCTCTGATTCCAGCAGTCCCTCTCTGATGAGCACGGTGCCAGCCAGAGTTGCTGGTTAAAGTTGATGATTAGCCCAGTGGTTGAAGAAACACATTTTTATGGGTTTGGGAAGTCAGAGTTGTTATTAGGATTTGATATAGTCTCATCCTTTACAAACTATTATTAACTTGATCTCTTAGAATTGTATTGAAGCCAGAAGAGCATTAATTCCTTTTCACCATCCTGTTCACTCTGTTCCCTTATTTTTCTCTTAGTCTAACTGGAGATTGTGTGTATGGACAGGTTGTGAATTGTAATATAAGTAGGGTTCTGGTTACAGTTATCTATAGAATGCCTTGCTCCAGTGGGTTCTGAAAGAGGAACCTATATTAAGGTGTGAATATATGTATCTGGAAATGCCTCATATCTGCCTACTTGTATTTTCCTAGAAACAGATTTGAGCATGCACTCATAATCTGCTATGAACTGGATTCCTAAAGACCTCTCGATACACAGGCCCAGATTCACCACTTACTACATTGTTGCTTAGGACAATCCTGTGGGCTCTTTTCTTCTAGAAACTACATGTTTTCCTGTTCCAAGAAGTGCTTGTGATCACTCGAGCTGTCACTCACAACGAGCAACTCTGCTACCAGTTGTATCGGCAGCCCATCCCTGTGAAGGACCTCATGCTGGAAGACCTGCAAGATGGAGAAGTGAGGCTGGGTGGTTCCCTGCGTGGGGCCTTCAGCAACAATGAGAGAAGTATGTGTGGGGAACAGACTGCAGTGACATATTAAACCATTTGATGTTAGAAATATGGAAGGAGTAGCTAGCTGGGGAAACTAGAACAGACCCAGCCTTGAAGCCAAACTGTGTTCCAATGCTGACTCTTCACTTGCTGGTGTGCAATCAAGTTCAAGCTCTGTGAGCCTTAGTTTCCCATTTGGCTACTTTCCTGTTGTGATTGCTTTGAGCATTAGGTGGCATACAGTCCATGAGCTCATCCATGAGCACATGTAGCTGGTGCACCTTTTGCTCCCTGGCTCTGTCTCTTACTGCTACATGAAAGAATGCTTAATACCATGCTGTCTCTGTGTGGGCACTAGTTCCATAATGTGAAGTTTTGTAGTTGTTCTGGTGTCGTTGCTGGAGGCTTAAGAAGAATCAACTAGAGCCCAGCTGCCATGGCCCAACATGGGATTATGAGTTGGAGGCCAACCTGGGCTACATAGTGAAAGCCTACCTCAGAAGAAAACAAAAGCAAAATGAATGATGAGCTGGGGTACGTGTTCACCTGCAGCACTACTCAAAGGGCATCTCTAACACAAGATTTAACTAAATAAAGGAAATGACCATGAGAAGCCAAGATAGCAGTCTCTGTCAGGCATTATTATGTAGTGAGCACTGTTGTAGGTACTAATGATAAGCCAAGACATTATAGTTTTTGTTCCTGTGGAGTGCACAGTATACAATGTTCAAGTATTCCTAATGCTGGTTAGAAAACTAAAACCCAATCTGGGCATAGTTATTGGATTAAAGTCTCTTTATTTCCAAGCACAGCCGGATGAAACACAGGCCAGAGCTAGGTTAAGACCCCAGCCAGCGCAGCCAGAACAAAAAGAGAGCGCGGTCCCCCCGTGCAGTTCTTTAAGAAGCCCCTCTTACGTCATCCCGGCTTTCCTTCACCCCGCCCTTATGGGCGAGTCCCCAGGTCCACCTGGTACCTGCCCCAGGACTATTGGGCGGGGCTAGGGTTACTCCCTACAATTCCCCTTTTAGTCTAAGAGAGGATTAAAACTTAATAGTGTAAAATATCCAAAACTAACAATCATAAGGGTGGAATACAAGAATATACAATAATCTTCTATGATACATCCTATGTCTATTCTAGCTAAGTCTTAAAGTCATGTGGAAAAAGTGTCTAACTTGAACACCTTCTTCCAATCCCAACTCTAAACAATAAGAA